TATTTTAGATGAGTAAAGTTTAAAGGGCCAGTGGCCCATCCAGGTGTCAATAAATACAAATAGGAGGGCCTTGCCTGGTGCTTAAGAGAAAGACTTGTGTTGTGGTGCGTGGTGATGGAGGTTTGTGTACCAAGCAGTGTTCTAAGTAATTTGTATTGAGTCATTCAGTCTTCACATCAGGCTGCTGCGAAGTAGAGATTGTCATTAACTCTTTTTAACAGTAAACTGAGGTATGAGCTGCAAAAGTAAATTGCCCAGCCAGGTAAAGGGCAGATTTGTGAGTAATCAGCATGTAGATAATTGGCTAAAGTCCTGCCAAGAAATATCTAAAATGAACCCACATCTTGTCAGTTACCTTAAAAATGGATAGTGAGCTGTAGAAGTAGTTCAGATCCATGATTATTCTAATGAAACATTTCCTCCTAGTAGCAGATTGCATTTTCATAGTTAATTGTCAGATTTTTAGAAAGTGTAGTCTCTTAAAGACAGACACTTGTTGGATTAAAGAAGGGAGGAAGGGAGCACATTAACTATCCTTAAAAATTTAGTTAATCCTTTAAAAGAGGGGAGGAAAACACTTGTCCTTTACTAGCCAACTCAATCCTTTGCACATACTTAATACGAAAGAACTTTTGTCCTTTTAAATAATCTGAAATACTATGCTCTGCAAACATGAAGTATCACACATGTATTGTTATTCAGCATCTTGTAATACTTCTGTGTTGTTACAGTTTTGGAAGAGTTGTTTTCATAGATTATGACCAGGAATTTTCCAGTTACTCAGTATTGTAGTTGCTGTAATTATTCTACTTGGTGACTTCTCTTTTATTCCATTACTCCTTCCTTTGCAACTCTAAAAAGGTTCTTCCAGTAAAGGTCTGAGTGGGAACTTCTGTCTTTGTCTGGAAATGTCTTTGTTTTGCGCCTGCTTTTATGTGGTACTTTAATTGGTTTTGGAATTCTAGCTGACAGTTGTTTTTCTCCTCACTTTGAAGATACTTGATTGTTTTCTGATGAAAAATCAACTGTCAGTCATACTGTTGTTTCTTCCTTTATAGGTAACGTGTCATTTCTCTGGTTGCTTTTAAGAATTTTCTTGTCTTTGACATTCTGCAATTTTGCCATGATGGTCTAGGTATGAATTTATTTTTATTTTATTTTGCTTGGGATTTAGTGTGCTTTTCCACTTTGAAGATTATTTATATTCGTAACTGGGAGAATCTCAGCCATTAGCTCTACATAACGTCTCTTCCTCATTCTTTCTGTTTTCTCCTGGAATTCCTGTTGCATATTACCTTAGACATATCTTAGACATCTCTTTCTACTTGCATCTTTTGACTTACCCACACTTGTTTCATCTTGTTAGTTCTGTGTTCTGTGGCGTTTCCTCAAATATGCCTTCTGTTTTACTTTTTTTTTTTTTTTTCATTTAATTCTAAAAGCTCTCTCCCCCACCTCCAAGCTACTTTTTCTTAATTCACTGTATCCTGTTCTTTGTCTGGACTTCTGTTTTGGGTTGTTTTAATCAAGAAAATTTTCAAACTTAACAAAAATAAAGAGAATGCTATAATAACCCCCCATGTACCCGTTACCCTGCTCTAGCAATTGTAAATTTTGTTTTGTTTATATCCCCAACACACACACACCCATTATTTTGAAGCCAGTCCTGGGCGTCATCCATTTAATCCATAAATATTAAAATACATATCTTTAAAGGATTCTTTAAAAGAGTCTTTAGACATTTTTAATATACTTATGTTTTATTACACGGTGTTTCACTTTTTAAGCTCTTGGGTACTAACCATCTGTTTGTCTGCTGATCCCTCATGGTGGATCTGTCCCTTGATTAGTTTTGTTATTTTTAAAAATTCAGATGTAGTTTTTCCTGTGGAACTTGTGTGTGTGTGCCTTGGATTATGGAAGTGGTTCTGATGATTTGTTTCTGCTGGGCACACTAAGCCTCGGCCCACTTTTACACAGATTTTCAGCTCGTGGACTCACACATCATGTATGAAATAAAAATTTGAAGAGCACCTGCACAGAACATGCGTTTGGGTTTCAGTGTTTCATGGGGGGCGACACCCACATCCACCCACACCCCCAAAAGCCCAGGAAATAGCTTTCTTGGTACTTCTCAGCAGTGATAGACACAGTTTTTCTAGGGTCCTTACCCCTTACACATCACTGTCATTGTGTTGTAAGTTTTTACTTTTTTGCTCTAACTTCATTTCCTCTTCCTATCTAGCACTTGAATATCTCCCCTTCCTTCCTTTGGAGCTTTGCTGTAATTTTTTCTTCTATTCTGTTTAGCATTTTTGATTATTTTTAGAAGGGAAAGTCTGGTTGGTCTTACGGTATTGCCACAACCAGAAATCATGTTTCTACCCATCTATTTTAAGGTGAAGAGTCATAAATTTCTTAAATACTCCATACAAGAGTGAGTTAGAGAGGTGTGTGTGTGTGTGTGTGTGTGTGTGTGTGTGTGTGTGTTACTCTGATACACTGCTATTCAGGTAACATTTAATATGTGTTACTATTTCATCTGGTGAGGTAGACAATACCTAAAAACACATTCAGACTTGTATTTCAATTAAAAGTCTTCTGTTCGTGTATTTGTGCTAAAATCGAATAGTTACATTAACTTGTGCTTCTCACATTTGTCAGAAACGTTGGTAATATTAGATCTGATTTAATGTAACAGAAAAATATTAATAAATGCAGTTTTACTGCCAGGCAGAGTCTTTATTGTTTAATATTTATTTATTTAATTTACTTATTTACTTGGCTGCTCCGGGCCTTAGTTGCGGCATGCACATGGGATCTAGTTCCCCAACCAGGGATCGAACCCGGGTCCCCCGCATTGGGAGCTTGGAGTCTTAACCACTGTGCCACCAGGGAAGTCCCAGACAGAATCTTTAAGTACATGAAGTTATATGAGATACATCTGGAAAATGGACTAATATCATTAACATATATCCCTACATATCAGTAAGGGAAAAAACTCACTGGGAAAATGGCAAAGGATATAAACATACTGTTTAAAGAAAACTGCAAATAAAACCATAGTAAGATGTTTTTCTTTATTAAATTGGAAAAGATAAAAAATGATAGTACCTTGGGTTCAGAAGGATGTTGAGAAATTGGAACACTTACACATTGCTAATGGGGATGTAAATTGAAATTGCCCCGAGGAAGGACAGTTAAACATCTGTCTTCCAAGGATCAAATGTACATTTGGCACATTGTTGGAAATATCAACAGATTTGAAGCAACTTAAATGTTCATCAGAGGAAACTAAATAATCATGGTATGCCCATACAGTGGACATACATAGTACTGTTCAGTGTTCTATAACATGAGGCAGTTATAAACATATGAATATGGAATGGTCTCCGGGGATTATTACATGGAAAAGGCAAGGTGTAGAACAATGTATGTAGTACGCTAACATGAGGGAGGGGGAACGTACGTGGATTTTAAATGTTTAAAATATCTGGAAGAACATACAAGAAACTGGTGATTATGGTTACCTTGGGAGGGGAAGAACTGGCTGGCTCAGGATCCAAGGAAGGGAGAGAAACTTTATTTTTCACTTTTGAGTTTTAGGTGATGGACAGTATTATGTATTATTTTAATGGAAACCAGAGTCTTATTGTGTGTGAAAAGAAGATACAAGTAAGGGAAGAAGAATCCTGTGAGGTTGAATTTGAATTCTGGATATATCAGTATGAGATCATGATTTTTCAAAAAAAAAATTGCTGAAGGAGTGAAACAGTGAGAACAGAATGGGGGAGATTTCTTTTTTCCTTTTTTAGAAATTTGAGAGTGGTAGTTAATTAACTGTTGTACATTATTACTTTGATAAAAATAAAGAATTACAAAAACAAATAATTCAAGAAAAGCCCTGTGCCATCTTAAGCCCTATAATACATGTGAAATTCTCTTGCTGTTGCATCCATTTCAGTATGTTGCCATGTCATTGGTTAATGTTCATTTGACAAATAACGAGTCTTACTCTGTGGTAGGCACTGTGCTAAATACTTAACATACAATATACAGAATTTTGTGAATGAAAAATATTAAGGAAACATTTTCATCTAGAAGTTGCTCTGCTTAACAGGTTGCTCCTTTGATTTAATACCTTAGAATTAGCATAGATTATTAAAACTAGAAAATATTTTGATTATTTTATAGAAGAAATTAAACTAAGGAACTTGCTCTAGATGGAGAATCTAGAACCAGATGTTTGGTCCAGCATTCATTCCACTGAGGTTCAGTTGTGAAATTTGGTTCCTTTTTAAAATGTACTTTTGCTGGTTTGGAAAGTTTTTTTTTTCTACTTATTTCTTTTTGTTTTAAAAAGATTTTACTGTCTTCAGTGACTTTCTACCTGTTTGTGCAGTTGTGCCTTTTCCTATGCCATGGGCTCTGTGCCTTGGACTGTTTTCTTCCTCCATGCTTTCTGCCTGTTTGTAAAATGCAATAGAATTTTCTGGATGAAATATGGCTTCCTTCTTGAGTATTGAATTTTTCTTTGATTTTGGTCTCTTGGAGTTAAAACCTAATTAAGAGTTAGTTATTGTCTAGAGACTTTATTCTTCCTACATGTCAGTGGTTCTTTGTACTATATATAATACTTGAAGTTGGGATGTTAGAAAAATTTAGCTCTTACCATTAGATAAATGTTCCATTTGTTGAATAGTTATGTGACCCTATGTACTATATTAATTCTTTTTTTAATATAAATTTATGTATGTATGTATGTCTGCATTGGGTCCTCGTTGCTGCGCGCAGGCTTTCTCTAGTTGTGGTGAGTGGGAGCTGTTCTTTGTTGAGGTGCGCAGCCTTCTCAACGCGGTGGCTTCTCTTGTTGCGGAGCACGAACTCTAGGTGCCTGGGCTTCAGTAGTTGTGGCACACGGGCTCAGTAGTTGTGGCTCACGGGCTCTAGAGCACAGGCTCAGTAGTTGTGGCGCACGGGCTTAGTTGCTCCATGGCATGTGGGATCTTCCGGGACCAGGGCTTGAATCTGTGTCCCCTGCATTGGCAGGCGGATTGTCAACCACTGCGCCACCAGGGAAGTCCCTATATTAATTCTTTTGTTTGCTTTACTAATTAAATAACTTAAGGCCAAAGCCTCATCTCTCATAGATATGCTCCATTGTTTTATAGGGTAGTGCTAAGAATGCTAGCTTTATTTTCAGATTCTAGCCCCATTTAATTAATAATATGACTTTGTGTAAGTTTCTTGATTCCTAGGTGATTTTATTCACTTGTAAAATTATCATAATGGTTCTTATATGTAAATAATACATGGAAGAGTGGTTAGAATAGGGCGTGGCACATATTGAACACATATATTTGTTGAATGAATAATGTAATCTTTTATGGTAATGTGTGCTGATTAAACAGATAAAAATATACAGATGGTGACTAGCATATGTGCCATAAAGTTAGAGATTGAACATGTTAATAATGTTTTATTTAATGAATTTCAATAAGCTGATAGGAAATTGAAAATCCTTAGAACATTTTTTGTTTCCTGTTGATTATTTTGTTTGTATTTCAAGGCTCTTCATCGGTTACCTGCTCTCTTAAAAAAAATCAGTTTGGAAAAAAAAATCAGTTTGGTATATAAAGAATAAACTATATAATGAGGAAGAAGAGCAGCTTATTTTGTCTATAAAACAAATCACTTATGAATGAATTTAAGATAAAAGTATTCGTTTGTTGAATGCCACACACGGACTCTTACCACTGAAGGTAAATTAATTGTCTTGGAAAAGCTATGGAAGTGATGGTAGGATTATTGTATGTAAACATAATTCACTCCTAGAGACAGAGTTAGTACTGGAGTTTTGTTATTCTTCCTAACCGTTTCTCTAAGGTTTTGGGTTGAAGAGGAATAATTACTATACTAAATTTACATCACTGTTATTTCTCACAATTTCATTTCTTGCATAGTTCTTTACTGCTTTTATGATGTAATCCTTTTTATTGTTATTCCCATCCTATTTTTCTGAGATTAAGCTTATTCTGAGGTCCTTTAGCATCTCCGAAAACGACCTGTATAATAATACCTTATATGTTTTCCTCTGACTTTGCTTGTATTTGAGTTTCTTTCGTCTAGAATGTTTTGTTACTAGTGCATCTTGTAATTTTGGGTAGTAAGTGCACTGACTTCTTCACAGATCTCTCAGATTTTCAAAAAGGAATGTACTTCTTGCATTCTGCCTCTCAATCGGGTAACACTCAACACTGAAGGGAGCCCCAATCTTAGTTCTCCAAGCCTCCCAGGTTCATAAAATTTGCTGGTTGAAGCGTTACAAAGGGGATCTCCTGCTTAATTGACAAGAATAATGTAAAGGGGGAATTAGTGGAGGAACTTTTAACTACATTAATGTTAAAAATGGATTCCCTTCCTCTCTCCTGACTTCTTATCAATGACCTTATCTGGGAAGATTTTCTTATTCCAGGGAGCCACTTGTCATTTTGGTTTTTACTCTCTGACCTGTATTGAGTCTTTTTTTTTTTTTTTTGCTGTACGCGGGCTTCTCACTGTTGTGGCCTCTCCCGTTGCGGAGCACAGGCTCCGGACGCGCAGGCTCAGCGGCCATGGCTCACGGGCCCAGCCGTTCCGCGGCATGTGGGATCTTCCCGGACCGGGGCACGAACCTGCGTCCCCTGCATCGGCAGGTGGACTCTCAACCGCTGCCCCACCAGGGAAGCCCAGAGTCTTTTTTATAATTTAATTTTTTTAACAAAAAATTTTGCACCTAGGCTCTATGTACCTTAAGTATTTATAGCCTTTATTCTATGTGGTATTAATAATTAATAACTGGTATTGATATAATACCTGATACAGCCGTAAATCGTTTTGGTAAGACATGAAGCAGAATCCATTGTATTTTAATTGGGCTAAAATCTACATCACTACTACTGATAGCACATGGAAAGACAGAATTATTCTGTACCTGTTGTTTCCTTCACAGAGAGCTAGTGGCATCTGACAAAGAACCATGATACCTGGCTGAAACTCCAGGATGGAAGTAATGCACAAGTCACTTTATAAAAGCCAACACTGTAAATCGTACGTAATGGCTATATGCAAACTAGTGATCAAAGTTAATAATTTTAGAAGGGAAAAGTTTACAGTTAGCTTATAAGTGGCTGTGTAAACCGATGCAGTAGCTGTTAAGCAGCTTTCCAAATCCTTGGAAGGCCAGTGTGCCAATAAGAGAGTCCTCATGAGCATTCCCACATCTGGCTCAAGTGACTTAGGGGGGATGAGAGCTAGAATCACATTCCTCTCCTCTCCCCAAGTCCTCATTCTAGTCAGTCAGACTTTTCTCAGCCCCTGCTACCACATTTCTGCCACATTTAATCATAAAGTACTAGGTCTTAAATGTTCCAAGTAGCTTTTTTTTTTTTAATTGTAAATACTGTCTTTACCAGAGCTGGTGCTGGCACTGTTTTGGAGATCCTCTATGGGATCTCATATTAACTGCCTGACTTACTTGCGAGTAAAAGAAAAGTGAGAGGCTCTTCATTTTACATTGTAGTTCGTTAGTTTGGATTTAAGCCAGGGGTGTTGGTTCCCGCAGTATAATACTGTGTTTGCATTATTTGATACTGCTTCTCAGAATCGACTCTTGTTTAAATTTTTTTTTTTTTTAAGATAGAGATGACTGAGTCAGTTTGACGTTTAGAAGCTTAGTGAACGTTTTTGTGGCTGTCTCACCATTGCCCCCCACTTCCTCCCCAGAAACCCCCTAAATTCAGGTGTTCCATAGAAATAGTTTTAAAATTGGAAGTCATCCATGATATGTAAAAATGATATTAGAGGAAAAATTTAAAGTAGTATGATTTTGTAAGATTCTGGGAAAGAGTTTTCCTCAAGTTTATTTTAATAAATAACCATTATAATTGTACTGGTGATGGTGAGCAGGAGAAATTCTTACAACATGATCCTTCAGTTCTTTTCCCACTTAAGAGTATGATGGTGCAGAAGCAGCATTTATTTTCATTTGACTTTAGTATTTGGGTGTAGCCCATCTATTCCTTCCCTTCTTGGCTCAGCAGCTTTGCAGATGTAAGCCACACTTTTGATACTTGCCACTTTTATAACGTATAAATTTCTGGGGCTTCATTAGGTAATTTTAGTGTAATACTAAGTTTAACTTCCCCCGAGCTTCAGACCCTTTGAAAATATATTTTTTTAACCTAAGCATATTTTTCATTAAATTTAAGGATTTAAAATGTTTCTCTGTTTATTTTCTTTAAAATAATATGCATATAATCATTGCATTTTGTTTAGGTTCTTTTTATTCAGATAAACAGCAAGAAAGCTCTTGAGTTAAAACTACATTTTCTAAACCATATTCTACTTCTTTAGTATCTATTTGTTGATTTTACTCCCCCCAAATTTTATTCACCATAATGTTTCTTATTACAAAAAGATTTTTAAATTACTTAGCATCAAGTAAAATTGATAATCCAAGAAGGCGTCTATCATATTCATTTTTTGTGACTTTTTAATACTCCTGGGCACACCTTGTACAAATACCTCAGTTTGAGAGGCACTAGCTCATTGGATCAAGTGGACATTTCTTGGTGTGAAGTGAGGGATAAAAGACATACTTAAATACTAACCCAATTATTAAAAATAGTTGTATTTGATAGACATGACTGTCACATTGCTAGGTAAGTTTTTAGGCCACTTGCTCTCAACCCCTAGACTCACCCTCTTTTTGGATGAGCGCTGATCGCAGAGGACACTGAGTAGCCCTGCTCTGGGCCGTGATGACTTACTCTGTGATTACACTCTTCTTCATATTTGATGTCTTAAACATTTCATTTCCCCTCCCTAAAATTGCACATCCTCGTTTTCTAACTGCTGCATTCCTTCTGTTACTTCTTGACAAGGCAGATATCCCTTCCCCAGGGAAGCCTGTCTTTACAGTGATCATCACCAACAAAGCTAGACATTCCCTCTCTGTGCTTCCATAGCCCCTTATTCACATATCTGTACTGTTAGCGGTATACTTACCTTTTATTAGACTGTGAACTCTTTGAGGGCAAGGACCTTATTTCCCCTCTGGTCAAATACAGTGCCTAGCACCTAGCAGGTATCAGGAAATGCTTGCTTCAGTGAGTGGATGAGTGGACAGACAGGCTCTTTCTAATTAGTGTTTGATGTGATATAGCTCTACCATTAGAAATTATGACTTGCTATGACCCCAGAGCATTCAACTAATGGCAACCACCCGACCCCTGCTCTCTAGCCATGTTTCCAGTCCAGGGTGGTATGGTGTGGAGTTACTATGGCAGTTATTTTTGCTAGTACCTAATGTTTTAACTTATTTCTTTCAGGAATTGTTGGATAAGTATTTAATAGCCAATGCAACTAATCCAGAGAGTAAGGTCTTCTATCTGAAGATGAAGGGAGATTACTTCCGGTACCTTGCTGAAGTTGCTTGTGGTGATGATCGGAAACGTAAGTGTATTTGGTTTATGGGTAAAGCTAAAGTATAAAAGAGAGGGAGGATAAATTTATAATGTTACCTTACGTTCTCAAACATGAAAACAGTTATGACTTTACATTATGTGCTCCTTATAAAAAATTAAACTCATAAACTCTCTGATTATAACCTGATAAGATACTATTAAAAACAGGCTTTTAATCTTTTAGGCTTTAGAATTTGGTTCACCATATTTTTAGCCCCAGAGTTCTTTGCATATGCTTTGGGTGATTCTGTTGTGTCACATGGTCTTCAGCATCTTGTATCTTGAAACTTAAGATAACTGGAAATTACATGTGGAGTAGAAACAGGACATTGTACTTTTTCTACTTGACATATTAATTTATTAATTACTACCTATTTTGAGGGATCATAACATTGACTACTAATTACACATAACCAGATTTCTGAGGAGGAGAGGTCAGATGAGAGTTTTATTGCTGGTATATAATTTATCACAGAAAACACAGCTATGGGGAAAAGAGTAACCTGATTTCCTAACTTGATTGTAAAACAGTCAAAGTAAATTTATTAGCAGTGAACTCAGTCTCCTGGAGTATTGGTAGCTGAGTGTACGGTAGTATATTGTGCATGTGCTTGCTAGTCTAGGTAGAAGCAAGTCTGGTTAGAAGTATCACTTAAGTCCTTATTTTATTTCCAATAAGTTTATTATTTTGTTTGTCATTTTACCCTATCCAAAAAGGGCATGCCCCACAAATGGTTATTACAGCCTCCTCTTCCTCTCTCTCAGAGAGTTACTAAAAGTGAGACAGTTTTAGCATCCCCAAAATCAGTGTAATTGAAGATATAAAGAGAAAACTTCTGTACCTTGCTGTAATAGAATCTGTATACTAAACTGTTGTGTTATCAATATATAATTTCTGTTGCCATAATGATAAGCAAAATTGAATGTGACAGATATTTGCACAGGACTGAACATTTAAACGTCAACTAGTCAAAGGGATATTTTTGGGAGATTGGGCCATAGCCCCAGCATTAATCTGATCTGACCCTTTCTGGCTCATTGGGATTTTCCCGTCCTATACGTAGAACACTCCAGTAGTCTGGGATTTGTAAATAGTCTGTATTTACAAAGTCTAGATGCTGAGATGCTTTAGAACTCTCATTGTAATGCCTCCTTATGTGCTGGACACCAAGAGCTCCTTAGTTAAATGTGAGGGCCATACCAGCTATGTTTAGATCAGTGAATGTGCCATTGAAGAAGAAGGAAAGGCACATATTTGGGCTTTAAAGGGATAACTTGATTTCTGTTAGGTCAGTCCTTCTAGAGCTGTAATGGGCCCAATGGCCTCATTCAGAAAACCTAACCTTTTCAAAACACGATATAATCAGATTAGTGCTGGTAGTTCTTCCTGAACATTTTGTTCAGGAAGGTGACATTTTTATTAAGCCAGTAATCAAACTCCGGTCAGCAGATTTTGATCTATATACTGGTGCTTTTATATTGCCTTTCACATAATACATGTTGATACCGAGGGTCAGTGTTATTTCTACAGATAAGTCACAAAAATAGAGATTTTGGTGGTGATGATCTTTGTAAAATGTTTCCATTATTGTGGGAAGGGATATTGCAGCTGATTTTTTTTAAGTTTTATTGAGATATTATTGACATATATCAAATTGTTTTTAATTGCTGCATTTTCAGGTAATAAAATTAAAAGACATGAAAGAAGAAGAGTGTTTTAGCCCCAGAGATGAAAAACCTGATATACTGTCTCATGGTTTTTATATTAAGCTGATTATAAACAAGCAACATAATAAACTAGTTTTTTAATAGCCCAGTACAGGATAATGTTTTTGGTTTGCTACTGTGGTTTTAAACGAAGGCTACAGAGAGAAGTCTGGCTCTACCGAGTTAGTAGCATAGGTTAAAGGTATTACTGTATACTGGGTGGATATTTTCAGTACCATGCTTTTTTATTTCGTTTTTTTCCCTTCACAGAAACGATAGATAATTCCCAAGGAGCTTACCAAGAGGCTTTTGATATAAGCAAGAAAGAGATGCAACCCACACACCCAATCCGCCTGGGGCTGGCTCTTAACTTTTCTGTATTTTACTATGAGATCCTTAATAACCCAGAACTTGCCTGCACACTGGCTAAAACGGTAAGATGTGTGTCCAGAAATACCCTCTTTAGGTTATTTGAGATAGCAAGCATGTTAATTTCTAGGTATTTTACTTGGATATCCAGGGATGATTTCTACATTTATTTGGATATCTCCTTTTTCTTACCATCGTGACCACTACCACTGTCCTTCTCAAGATCTTACTCTCCCAGCTATGGTTGTAAGCAGTAAGATCTGTCTAAAGAGCATATTGGTCAGAGTAATCAAAAAAGTATGAGAGAAATGTAAAGGATTGGAAAGTAATGCCTGCCAGGTGTGATCAGTAGAATCTCTGCATTCCTCAAAGTGTTTCAAAATGGAAGTGTTCCAAGGGGCTTTTGCAAATAAATACTAGTTCTTATTTGTAAAAAATATATTGGGCATAGCTACTGTGCTGTCTGTCCTGTGAAAGAACTAAGAAATGCTTGTTTACTGATTAAGTACGTATAACTTTATAAGTTTTAGTCATCCTCAAAAATTCTTAAGCTGAGAATCCGAGGCAGTGATTTCATTGAGTTTTGTTTTAAGTGATAATAGAACATAAAGTGGATGTTCATCTATTTTATAAAAATGGTTTGTGACTTTAGAGTGTCAGTTTGTGTCGATGTAAATATTGTCTACCGTGGATATTAATATTTGTCAGGCTTTTGATGAGGCCATTGCAGAGCTTGACACACTGAATGAAGACTCATACAAAGACAGCACCCTCATCATGCAGTTGCTTAGAGACAACCTAACAGTGAGTTTTTCATACTTTTAATTTTATTTCCTTTTCAGGAACAAAAGTATTAATATTTTATTCAGGCTCCCTGTGTTTTGGGGCACCTATATTAGAGCTACACTTGCTCTTAGAAAATGATTATATAAAAATTACATTAAAATATTAAATATGTATTAGTATTTTGTATAGGACAACTGTTCTTCGTAGGCAGATTTTCAAGTTGAATAGGCGTTTTATCAGACCTTCCTGAGAAAGTACTAAGATTTTAGGAACTCATAATATTAACATTATTGACTCTTTATT